CAGACAACCCCGTAACAATATGCGTTTTGTACTGCTGTTACACAGCACAAAACGCATAAAAATCCAGTTCGGAACGCAGCACTTCGCAAAATCTGTGGGCCAGGAAGGAACTGGATCGCCGATCATTTCAGATTGTATTAGTACGTGATAGTTCAAATTTGTTTGACGCCAAAATAAGACTGTTTGGATGAATGGAGCAGTTCGTTGTTGCATTCTCGGGCGCAGAAGTTGTCGCGAACGGAGCGCCTCTTGCAAAGTTTTTTCAGCTGGAAAGAATCGTACCTCTCATTTTTACTCACCTTTTACAAGCGTTACTAGTTGACGGATGGTAGAATTTTGCGAGCAAGCTAGCTCATTTCAAATACTTCTGATATAAACTTTTTAATTTTTGTCTTGTTAACAAATGTATGGGGATTATTTTTTTTGCAGACAGTCACCATGCGATTTACTACCTTTGCCGATGAGGAAGAGTCCGATGAGAAGGAGCAACTGCCGACGATTGTGCCTCAGGCTGAGGCCTTTGGCTCAAGCAGCCTCGCAAATTTGTGCTGCCTCTTCAGTGGCACTGAGGCCAAAAATAAGGGCGATGACGATGTACGTAACCTCTGGAAAACTCAGGTACAGTGGAAAATCGCTCACTTTTCTAATTTAGGGTATCAGAGCTATCCAACTCGTCACTGCGCAAACTAGAAGCCCCAGCTGCCAGAAGCTCATATCCCAAATTAGCTCAAGTAAATATTTGGTGTGTAAAGAAATGAGCATGGCGTAATGGTAATTCGTACTGCGCATACGGTGAGAGTGGAAAGTTCCACTCCCCCAATGAGATAATCGCTCCCTCTGTTATTTGTTCATTGGTTTCGATGGCTAATTCGCCATCAGTATGGTTCTGAGCGGCCCTCGAAGGGATAACATTCTTATCAGTAGGTGGCTGCTACTGACAGTTGCTAAATCCGAATATTTTTGAGTGCCCCCCCCCCTCTTCCCCGCTCCGCCTTTTAGATGTCTCAAGTTGGTCTGTCCTGCACAATACGACCAGCGTTTACTGATTTTCAGCAAATTTTTGTAATCATTGTAAGTGAGCGTGTGTTATTTTTGATACATAATGGGCTCTCAGTTTGGCCACAACTGCTGCAGACAAGCACGCGGATCCATGCACCCCTTCTCATGGCATGCATTTTGCATCTGCGCTCGCCGTCCTTGTT